CATTCTAAAGTGCCCACAAGCAACGCTCTCTCTAAGCTGTGGAGTCTTGTGAGCAAAAATTCTACTTTCTAAGCTACTGGCGTTTAAGTTGTGAGCGAGTGATTTGGCTACTGCATAAATTAGTTTGCTTTGGAGCCATCCTTGCTGAACTAAGACAAAAATGTGTGAGCCGGAAGCTAAAAAACTGAGCTAGCTCACACTAACTCAGCTTAGAGGGAATATTGCCCACAAGCTCAGCAAGGTTGAGGAACCCAGAAGTAAACACAGCAACCTCTGGAAAGCCCCACTGAAATGCTCTGAAAGAGCTCCATTTCAAAACAGCCTTTACATGTGTGGTGGAATTGTTATGTGTGTCTTTGCATACTCTCACAGCAAACATATTTGCATTCCATGTCTTATTGTACATCCAGACTCTTCCTGTTCTCAGGGCAGAATCTGAGGTGTGGGAACAATCCCCGTGAATTTTGCCCACATAACTGCGGCTCCCATTCAACTCAAATTCTCCAGCAATGTTTGGGTATAAGAGACTATGGTCCCGTTCACACGAGGGGATTTGGGCCAGTTGCGGGCCAGTTCGGGTGCGGATCAAAGCAGCGCGATCACACCAGAACATCTGGGAAGCGTCCTGCTTCCGTGCCCGAACTGGCCCAAATCCGCCCTGACCCGCCCCAAACTGAACCACCTACCTTGGGTGGTTCAACTCGTTGGGGCGCTTCAAGCCGGGCGTGTGATAGCCGGCGCTTCCTTGCGCCGGCTCAACCCCAGCCCGGAGCCGAACTGCGCATGCCCGGACATGCGCAGTTCGGCCGGCCCCCGAGTAGGGCGTGTTTTCTCCCCGGCGTTTGATCGCGCCGGGGAGAAACGGCGGCGCGGCCGGGAGATCCGTGAGATCCCGCCGCGCCGTGTCAACATTGGCGCGGCTTTTAAAAGCCGCGCCTTTTCCCCTGCGTGTGGCAGGGGCCTATGAGAGTTAATTCCTGTTGTGTTCAACTGTCAACAGATTAGCCACACTGCTGCAAAAGACCTGGGAAATGCCTGCTGATGTTTTGTGAACTCAGATCCATGCCAAAGTTAGCCTAGGTGTTCCCTTGCCCTCTCATCCTCAGGCAGGCGGCTTTGGAGGTTCACCCTGGGCCTCAAAAGCAAGCTAGTACTTCAAGTGAGGAGGCTAAGCTGTTCTTTAAATGTCTCTGGCTCATGCTAAGTAGACTCTTAGGATGACCAAGTAAGTGTTCCTTGTTTCACACATCTTGCTGACAGCCAAACTGCAAATGAATCCTCACATTTATTTATGCACCTGCTCATCATCAATATACCTAATACTCAACATGACAAAATCTGTGGATACTTAAATCCAGATACTGAAGCCATGAACAGACAAGACAGATCTTTCTACAAACCTGAAAAACACCCCAGATTTGCAATAAATAAATAAATCGGAAACCTTACAAACATGGAGAGTTAATCCCTCAAATTATTAGACCGGGTACCTGTAGCTTTACGAAATGAATGCCCTGTGGCCGTTGCTAGGTAACCACAACAGTATTTCAAACCTTCAAGCCTTGGTTTCTTACAGCAAAAGGCAAGGGGAAGGGGCAGAACCCTTTGCAGGGCTGTTTTGGCCTTTGAGGGAGGACTCATTGAGGCCAAGCCCGGGAGCAACTGACTTGCTACCACCTGATTGGTATGACTGACCCAGGAATGGCTGCTTACTACTGTTCAACAGCAGCCACTCCATGAAAGCCAATGTAGGCCCCGTTCACACAAGGCGATTTGGCCCGGGAGCGGGACAGTTCGGGGGCGGGTCAAACCGGCGCGATCACACCACAACACCTGTAAAGCGCCGTGATACCGTCCCCGAACTGGCCCTTTCCCGGGAAAAAGTGCCTCAAACTGAACCACCTACCTCGGTGGTTCAAACAGAAGAGGCGCTTCTTCCCGGGCGTCTGATCGCCGGCGCTCCCTTACGCCGGCTCAAGCCCGGGCCGGAGCCGAACTGCGCATGCTCCGACATGCGCAGATCGGCTGGCTCCCGGTTAGAGCCGTCTTTTCTCTCCGGCGTTTGATCGCGCCGGGGAGAAAAGGCGGCTCGGCCGGGGGATCCGTGGGGTCCCGCCGAGCCGTATCAACGTTGGCGCGGCTTTTAACAGCCGCGCTTTAAAGGGCTTTTCCCCTGCCGTGTGGCAGGGGGCGGAGTGGAGTAGTCAGAGTTTCAGATTAGAGTCTGGGAGACTAAGGTCAAATCACCACTCTGCTGTGAAAGCTCACTAGGTGATTTGGGGCCTGTTGACATTCTCAACCTAACTTACCTATCAGGGTTGTTATGAAAATACAATGGAGAAGAGAATGATATAAGCAGCTTTGGGTATCCACTGAGGAGAAAAGTAGGGTATAAATGAAGTAAATAATACATATAAATGAAGATGGATGGCAAATAAAATCAAAGAATCATAGAATCACAGAGCTGGAAGGGGCCATACGGGCCATCTAGTCCAACCCCTGCTGAATGCAGGATCAGCCGAGAGCATCCCTGACAAGATAAAAAGTAGGTTGGCGGTGGTTGGGAAGGAGAGAGGGAAAGTTAAAAAAGGTAAAGGTATGAAAGAGGAAATGGTGTGGGAGGGAGTGTACAGGAGGCAGAGAAGTGCCCTCTACAAGTCCTTGTGGGTTCCCCCCTCTGCACAACTGGGCCAAGCCTAGAAGTCGGCACCGCACAGAGTTTTTCCAAGGAGAGGCTGCTGGGGGGAGGGAAGGAGGGAAATCTGAAGACAGGGGACAGATAAAGGTAGGTTTGTGTAATGTATCCAGTCCAGACAAGTCCAGAGACAAACGTCGAGCTTCGCTCCAAGAAACAATGGACTATGCGGATCCTAGCCCACTCCAATCAGGGGGCTGGGTTCCCGGCCAAGAGCCTATGGGACTCTCGGCTACTGTAAATAACCTATAGGGAATTAGGGGTGTGTTTTGGGTGGCGGTTTCTCAGGGGATATAAGCCGGCCTGCGAGCCGGCCAAAGTCGTCTTGTTCCTGATTGAATAAAATACGCTTTGCTGAAATCACTCTCCGTGTGTGTACTTTTCAGTTTGGCTGGTGGGTGGGAAGGGGAGAAGGAAGCAAGAAAGGGGTAGAGGTGATAGGGGCTGCCAGGAGGAGGAAAAGAGTGGGGGAGGGGGAAATGAGATGCCCCCTGCGAGCATGCATGAGTGCAAACAACCGATCTCCACCCTTCTCAGGAGACTTCAGAGGATGAGGCACCACCAGCACTCGAGCCACATAGGAGGGGATTGCAGGAGTCACCACTGCCCAGGCCGGCCTGCTCCCTGCAGGGCGGTGGGGAGGAGGACAGACAGTCGGCGAAGGGAAAGGCAGGCAGGCAGACCAGGGGAGGGGACAGGCAAGCGAGATTCCCCCCTCCCCTTGAGCTTGCATTTGGGGGCAGCTGCTGTTGCCCATCCCTCCCTCAGCCACTGAGACAGGCATCGCAGCACGCTGGCAAGCAAGAAAGAGGAGAGGGAAGGAGGAGTGGGAGCCACTGCCCCCCATCGTGGCCACCTTGTGTTACCCCTGGAGGGGAACAGGGAGGAGAAGCAGGCAGAGGGGGAACAGCTGTCCCTCCCCTGGTTCCCAGGCAGCACTGGGAAGAGGGGTGGGGGGGGAGGATTGGGAGCCACTGCCACCTTCAACCCCCTTGACTGCTGAGGCAGTAGCACAGCAGGCTGGCAGGTGTAGGGGAGGAAGAGCAGGACTATCCCCCCCCCCTCCGTGGTCCACTCCTCTGCCATGTGAGCCAGTGGGGCAGGCTGATGGGCAAGTGCTTGATTGGTTGGGTAAGCAAGCAGGTGAGGAAGGAGGATGGGATTTCCCCTCTACCGTCAGTCTCACAGGTCCCCCTCGTGTATATATATATGTGTTGCAATTGTGGGAACTGCCATTGAAAGAGGGAGATGGGCATGAAAGGGGTGATTTAACTCTTTCTCCTTGTGCGTTTCCTTAACTTCCCCTCCATTTGAATCATAGAGTTGGAAGGGACCTCCAGGGTCATCTAGTCCAACCCCCTGCACAATGCAGGAAATTCATAAATACCTCCCCCTCCATACCTCCAGTGACCCCCTGTTCCATGCCCAGTTCCATACCCTTGCTGGGTAAACAATATTGATATCATCCCCCCCCCTCCAGAATGGGTGAAAAACAGCTGAGGGTGGCTCAAACAGGAAAGTCATATGAGGGGTGAGTTCAAGAGCCCCTCTCCTCCCATGCCCATCTCCTCTGTTAAATCACACCCCTTGCTGCATTGTGTGTGTGTGTGGGGAAACATGACATACAATTTCCAGTTTGTTCAGGGCCTTGGAACTGGTTGATAGAGTCCCAAATAAAGACGGAAAGTAACCCACCCTCTCCCTCTCTACTTGGAATTGAAGTCCAGCTCTGCCCTCTAATATGTAAGCTTTAGCTCTGTCGAGGCAGCGAGCTGAAGTGTCTTGTCATGCTAAGCATTGGTCTAGCCATATGAAGTGATTTAAAGATATACAAAGCTTTAAGCTTTATTCCCCCCCCAAACCCCCCCCCCCAACATCAGATTTCCAGGTAGCTTCAGTGTTCCCTCTTCCAGTTCTTAACTTTCAGTTGGATTCCTTTACCTCATAAACTATGTAATTATTAAGACTGTGAGCTCTCCGGGGACAGAAAGGTTTGAGTTTGGGCTAATGTGAGACATAAAACAAAAATCATTCAACAAAACATCTAGCTATTTAGTTTTACATTCAACATTTGAAAAATCTTGGTATTCCCCCCCCCCCCACATACCCCTTTCCTTTTGTTGCAAGTCCATAGAATTTCTTAGCATCTCAAGAAGTGGGTGAAAATTTATTCTGAAATAAAATATTCTTAAGTCTTTAAGGTGCAGCAAGATACCTGTTCAAACAGAACAGCTGTGATTTGAGAAGAGGGACAAATAATACATTGCAAAACAAACATAATAATCATTATAATGTTTGACCTTACCTTGGGTAGCCGGTACTTTTCTCTCAAGTGAACCCTCACAACAGCTCTCCCGGCCTTTTTTTGGGTAAACGCAGCATCTCTCTCCATTCTGAAAGCAGAAATGTTTCATAATTGAATGTTTTCTTTTCATAATGTCTGTATTGTGCTTGGCAGCCTGAGAGGCAGAGTAGTGTATTTACTTCAGCATACACACACACACACCCTGTTCTTCTCCCCAACACCATCCCTCCCATCTATTTTACCCTCAGAACAACAAACCCTAGTATTATTATTATTTATCAAATTTCTATACTGCCCATAGCTAAAGCTTTCTGTGTGGTTTTAGAAGAAGAGCCGGTTTTTATACCCCACTTTTCACTAAGGAAAGGAATCTCAGAGCGGCTTACAAACACCTTCCCTTCCTCTTCCCACAACAGACACTCTATAAGGAAGGTGGGGCTGAGAGAGTTCTGAGAGAATTGTGACTGACCCAAGGTCATCCATCTGGCTTCATGTGGAAGAGTGGGGAATCAAACTCAGTTCTCCAGATTAGAGTCCGCTGCTCTTAACCACTACACCAAACTGGCTCTGGTTCAAGCTGAGAGAGAGTGTGTGGCCCAAGGTTATCTAGTAAGCTTCCATGGCAGAGGGGGGATTTGAACCTGGGTCTCTTAGACCTGAATTCATTGCCTGGAAGTGCCTCTGGGCAAATGGCATACTACGTTATTGCATTGCTTCAATGTGTCTGTGTTTTAATGTATTTTAACCTACTGTAAGCCGCCCTGAGCCTGCTAGACAAGAAGGGTGGGATATAAATCAAATTATGTAGTCGAAGGCTTTCACGGCCGGAGTTCATTAGTTGCTGTAGATTTTCCGGGATGTGTGGCCATGATCTTGGCATTGTAGAACCTGACGTTTCTCCAGTAACTGTGACTGGCATCCTCAGAGGTATAAACACAGAAAGATGGAATACTCTCTGTGTCAGGTGAGAAGAAAATGGTTACTTTTACTAAATTTACTGCCTACCATTTTCTTCTCACCTTGACACAGAGAGTATTATATTTTTCTGTGTTTATACCTCTGAGGATGCCAGTCACAGTTACTGGAGAAACGTCAGGTTCTACAATGCCAAGACCACAGCCACACATCCCGGAAAATCTACAGCAACTAATAAATCAAATTAATAAAATAAATAAATAAATAAATTGCTCTAACCATTGTACCATGCTGGCAAATGTAGTTGGGGAGGAGGGTCAAATCACACACTGTGAGACAAATACAAATAAATAGTTAGGGACATGTCTCTGTGATGGCTCAAGTGGTTAAGACACTGAACTGCAGGCTGTGGAAGGTCAGTAGTTCAGCAGTTCAAGACCCGAGTTGCCGCATGATGGAGTGAGCTCCCATCTCTAGTTCCAGCTCCTGCCAACCTAGCAGTTCGAAAGCAAGAAATTGCAAGTAGATAAATAGGTACCACTTCGGTGGGAAGGTAACAGCGTTCCGTACGCCTTGGTGTTTACTCATGCCGGCCACATGACCACGGAAACCTCTTCGGACAGCGCTGGCTCTTCGGCTTTGAAACAGAGGTGAGCACCGCAACCCTAGAGTCGGACGTGACTGGCTTTCGAGCAAGGGGACCTTTACCTTTACCTTACATGTCTCCAAACCCTCCAGGGCTCACAGTGGATGTAAGCTGGACAGCTGTGATAGGCCACAAGAAGACCCTGACAAAGTAGGGTTTCCAGGTCTCCCATGGCCACCAGCAGGGGACAGGGGGTATAGGGTCTCCAGATCCAGGTTGGGAAACTCCTGGAGATTTGGGGATGGAGCCTGGGGAGGACAGGGACTTCAGTGGGATACAATGCCATAGAGCCCACCCTCCAAAGCATCCATTTTCTCCTGATCTCTGTATTCTGAGGAAGTGATCCCTGTAGTCTGGAGACGAGCTGTAATTCTGGGGTATCCCCAGACCCCACCTGGAGGCCAGCATCCCTGCTGACAAATAGCCATGACAAGTTTGCAAAGTTATGTGACTCTCTTTTACATTCAGAGATGGCAAAATGCAGCTGCAATTTGAAGCATCAATCTGTGCTTCATGAAGCACTGAGGTGGGAGATTTGGGTTCAGATCCCTGCTCAGCCATGAACTTCACGTGAGGTAAATTTACCTCAGTCGGCAGAGTTCTGAGGTGGGAGGAACATACTAAAGCTCTTTGACTGGCAGGTGGCAAATCACTCTTTCTGGGTCAAACTCAACAGAGGGATCTACATACATTAATATATATATATATATATATATTTATGTGCCTGCCAATTTGTTTTAAATGCTAGGGTCTATTTTTCGCCTAAAACGGAGCAGGCAGGCAAATCTTGCCTCTCCTCCTTATTTCTACTTTCCATATTTTGAAAAGGGGGTTCAGCCTCCTCCTTATGCTGTTTTCCCAACCTTAAACTGTCTGAGGCAGAGTGTTATTTGACGTATTTTTTTTTAAAAAAACACTATATGTTTTAGGAGAGGGGTTGTGGCTCGGTGGAAGAGAAGAAGAAGAAGTATCCCCAGACCCCACCTGGAGGCCAGCATCCCTGCTGACAAATAGCCATGACAAGTTTGCAAAGTTATGTGACTCTCTTTTACATTCAGAGATGGCAAAATGCAGCTGCAATTTGAAGCATCAATCTGTGCTTCATGAAGCACTGAGGTGGGAGATTTGGGTTCAGATCCCTGCTCAGCCATGAACTTCACGTGAGGTAAATTTACCTCAGTCGGCAGAGTTCTGAGGTGGGAGGAACATACTAAAGCTCTTTGACTGGCAGGTGGCAAATCACTCTTTCTGGGTCAAACTCAACAGAGGGATCTACATACATAAATATATATATATATATATATATATACTTCCCCTCCCCACAACAGACACCCTGTGAGGTGGGTGGGGCTGAGAGAACTCTGACACAAACTGCTCTTTTTCAAGGACAGCTGTGCCAGAGCTTGTGACTGACCCAAGGTCACATCAGCAGGTGCAAGTGGAGGAGTGGGGAATCAAACCCGGTTCTCCCAGATTAGAGTCCGCACACTTAACCACTACACTACACCAGAGCCTTTGTGTTGCATGCAGAAGGTCTCAGGTTCAATCCCTGACTTCTCCATTTCAAAGGACCAGGAAGTAGGTGAGACCCTGAGACCCTGGAGAGCCGCTGCCAGTCAGAGTGGACAATAGTGACCTTGATGGACCAATTATCTGATTCAGTATAAGGCGGCTTCATGTGTGTGTCCTGTTACAGTGCAGGAAAACAGTGCAGGGGGATAGCCAAAGCCCTTTCTCCGTGTCTAATGGGGCCTTGTGTCCAAATCAGGCACTCCCCACTCAAGAATGAAATAAAATCTGCAACTCATCGTGTCTGACTGTTACAAAGGGTAGGGGTCCCAGACTCTGTAATGGGAGAATCTAGCCATTGAACCACACATCTGCCTGGCAGGTTATTGTGCAGAGAGATTTGTAAATGGCAGAAGATATCTCTCTGCCATGACCGGTGGATCAAGATGAAGGGATTACCAAAAGACATTCAGGCAGGGAGGACCCATTCTACCCCAGGCTTTGCTTCAACCCCCGTCTTTAGCCAGCACATGAAGCTGCCTTATACTGAATCGGACCCCTGACCCATCAAAGCCAGTACTGTCTACTCAGATGGGCAGTGGTTCTTCAGGGTCTCGGGCAGAGGTCTTTTGCATCAGTTACCATAGGCGTAGAGTTCAGGGGGGCGCAGGGGCGGGGGCTACCTCCGAAATTTTCCGGGGGGGTCTCAGCCTCCCCCGGGGCTTGAAGAGAAGCCTTTTCATTCCGCCGTCCGTAGACCTGAGGGACCGCGATCCCTTCCCTGTGCCTATTCCGGCTGCTCAAAGGCGTCCCCCGGCGCCTCCGGGAAGTCGGGAGCCTGAATCCACGTGGGTGGGTAGGGTGGGCATCCCGCCCCCGGCTTTCCGCCCCCGGGAACTGCTCGGGGTTTCTGTCGGGGGGGGGGGGTGTTGCATGAGCCCGGTCCCCGGCCATTGCAGGCGTGTAGGAAGCAGGGAGGGACGGGGAGGCGGCGGGATTCCTCCTCCTCCTCCTCCCACGGCGAACAGGAGCGCGGGGCGGGGGAAGGTCTCATTCCACGCGGGGTGGGAGGCTGCTGCCGCCGCCTGAAAGCAGCTCCCCCTCCACTCCCTCCAGCGGCCCAGCCCCAGCCCCCCCCGGAAAATTGGAAAGTCTACGCCCTTGTCAGTTACTACCTATTCCTTTTAACTGGAGATGCCAGGGATTGAACCTGGGACCTTCTGAATGCCAAGCAGCTGTTCTGCCACTGAGCCACAGCCCCTCCATCAACTAAGATTGCATCAAAAAAAATAAAAGGCCAATCCCTCACTAATTCTGGAGGTAATGGGATCTGGCCAGCTGCCCTGACATCGAACAGCGAAACGAGAATTGAAACACTCCTTCCCTCCAGCTGTTGCTTTCATAGGGGTCACAGGGAGGTGGAGGCAGCTGGATCTACCCGTGGAGCAGCGTAAAGTGGTAGAGTCCTGTGACGGTTAAGAGGGCCGTACCACATCAGAGGAGGAATGACATTGTGAATGCCCCTCTCTTAAAATGCTCTCTAGGAGTAGAAAATAAGTACAACATAGAGAGGGCTGGATAAGATCCTTTCTTCCTGATGTGTGGATTTTCTATTGACATGGAGATTTGAGGATTGATTTAAAATAAATAAATAACGGCGCATTCAAAAATACAATTCTCCACCAGCAGCCTGTAGCGGTATTGCTTGTCCTTTACTCTGCAGCATTTGTAAGTTGAGCTACTGAGTGTCTTTCTTGGAGACAGTAATCCCCCAGCAGAATACTATCCCATAATACAACCTCATGACCTGCTTCTTGCCAAGGCGTATAAGGGCATTTCCATCTGCCTCTAATGAAGCTAGAGGTCTGGGTGGGGTGGTTGAGGTACAGGGAACCGTGTCTGGGGTCTCTCTCACACACATATCCCGTAGCAGTGCCATAATTCTTTCGGGGTCTGGTAGTTAATTAATTCCAGTGAACGGAAGCACCATGACTGATCCCCATCCGTGGAACCAGCACAGGTGTTTTCATTCGAAGCTGTATGATGGTATCACTTCCACAACCAAATTACATTGGTAGTATTTGATAGTGTGTTATACAGTGCCATCTCATGTCTGCCAATCTGTCAATTACAGAGGTGTGCAAATGACCAATGAGAGAGAGAGAGAGAGAGAGAGAGAGAGAGAGAGAGACTTGGTATAACACAATTCAGGCTAAAAGGAAAACAAGAGGGTCACCCAGGGTTTAATCCGGCCCAAGCCAGTGATTCACTGTGTCACCTTTGACAAGTCTTCCAACCTCTGTGAACCTCAGGTTGTTCAGCTGTAAAACTGAGATTTGGGGGGGGGGGGACCATCCAATTCCCTTGATGAACAGAGTCACCCATTTATAGAACTGCTGCTCCTTTCCCCCATAGGTTGTCATGTGTATAAATTTTAATACCAATCTGTAAAAGAGTGCCCTCCTATTTTATGCTAAGATATGCAACTGAGCATTTAATGCAACCTGGCTGAAAACCATTACTGATGGTTCTCCTTGTTCAATAGAAGCGTCCAGATTTTCAAGGGGGAGGAGTTTAATTTTTGTATGTTTGTTTTCTAGATGCTTGGTCCCTTCCTTTAAAAAGCCAAAGTATAGATTGCAAAAGATGCTGCATTTAAAGATCCCATATGTTTAGAGAGCTGCATTGCAGAAATGCTTCCTAAATATAGCTCTGCTCCACCTTAAATTCCATATGTAATTAACCTTTCACCCATAATCATCTTAGATGTGGGGGATTTAGACAACCATTATGTAATTGATCATTAGCGAAATGATGCACCAGAGATTTGAAATTTCAGTTGTTGTCGTTGCTGTAATTGTGGTCTGCTTTAATGCTTATACAACTGAAACCCATTTATTTTGCTTAGAATCCTACAAGCAGATTACTGATATAAATGATATGAATATTCTGCCATTCACACATATACATGCATGCATCATGCTTAGCTACCCCTTTCTCCTTCGTTCCTTTTAAATATTTCAAAGCGTAAAGATGGAGGAACAGCTGGGACGAATAAAGACATTTGCATTTATCTCTAATCAGTGGACTGTCCTTTAAAGTAAGAGAATTTTAGTAGACCGCGCTTGCTATTTTTGTCTAATTGAAATGAAAACAGGGAATTCTATGAATAATTTAAGCACACTTCCTTGGGATTTTCAGAGGAACACTCAGGTAACCCTCCGTGGTAACCACTTGCATTTGTTAGAATAAATAAAACCCAATATTATCAAAATAAAACTAAAAGAAACTGCCCAACCAATACACACCAAAGAAGAACCTTTTCGATTACAGTGCAGTTTCAGACAGAGTTACACTCTTCTGAGTGCACTGGAGTCCATAGGCTGCTCAGGACAGTAGCACAAGTTAGGTATGGGGAGCAAGGATAATGAGAAATATCAAATATATTAATGTTTGTGGAGATATTGTTTTGGAGAATGTATCTGGCCCCATATCTGCTTCCCCCCTCCCCACCAGGAATCTTACTGAAGGAGACAGAAATATGATATTGTTTTATTTAGTTTGTTTATATTGTACCTCTTGCCCCAATGGGAACTCAAAGTGGCTTACATAAATCTCCTCTCCTTCATTTTATCCTCACAATAACCTCGAGATAGGTTAGGCTGACAGTGTATGACTGGCCCAAAGTTACCCTGCAAGCTTTCATAGCAGGGTGGGGATTCGAACCTGAATCTCCCAGATTCTGGTCTGACACTCAAACCACTGCACCACACACTCTCTCTATAAATCTTCCAGGCTTTGACTTTGGAATTCCTGCCATGAAAAATCCATGGGCCTTCCAGAGAACATATAACATAGAGATGGAGCTGTATATCTCCCTCGGTCTCGCTCTCTCGTGAGACATTTATGAACGAGCTCCATGACAAGAACATGGAAATGCATACTCACTTCTCCTCTATCAACTGCTTTTGATATTCCTCGTATTCTTCTCGCGTCATCCCAGCGGCTTTAGCAGGATCGGTAGGGGTTGCTTCTTCCGTTTTTTCTTCATTCCCACCACCAAGCCCCAAATTCTTCACCTGGTTGCTCAACATACTTTTCACTATGAAGGCCATTTTCTTCTGTGTCTCGAACTCTCAAAAAAATTTTTTTTGGGGAAACAAGGCAACAGCAGCAAAGCGCAAACCCCCGAAATAAAAGTATAATCTAGGCAGCAAATGGAATTTCTATAGCCCGGGCAGATCTTGAAGGGGACAGCCCTAGTGAAACCGCTATGCCAAAAACAGGTTGTCAGCCATAATCTGGATTAAGGCAGTGAACTCCTTAGTATCCAGAGGCAGATGGTTCAGATTACCCGGAGGAAAAAAAAATCATTAGACACAGCTACCTACTTTTTATATTAATACTTTAAGCCAATTTTCATTATTTTAAAAGAAAAATCACATTTGTTACTGCAATAAGGCTAAAAATTTTCTTCGTTTTTGAGATCTTCAAGCCTAAAGGATGCCTCTCTAGTGGATCCAGTTACTTAGATGCACATGGTAGGACCCAGTTGTTCACAGGAGCCAAATGGAACGCAGCAAATCATGTTGGGTGGATGTGATCGAAAGAGATTTGTGGTGGGATGTGTGTGGGGGGGAGGGGCATGGGATTCTTTTATTAAACCAGTCCTTTTATCTATTCATGTTGTTTTATCCCACTGGGGGCTGGATTTCATTTCATTCTTCTCTGACCAGACTTCTAAGAGTTTTGTGACTGGCTAGTGGGACATTAGGCCAAACGTGTCCTGGAAAAAAGCTCTACTCTTGACAGGAAACACCATCTTGTCCCCAACATTGGTCATTGGTCTCTTGGTCACAGTGACCAAGAGGCAGATCCCAGGACACAGCTATACTGAGAAAGAGTTCCTGGTTGGTAGCCAAATCGTGAAGAACAAGGCCTCATACTTTAGCCCTCATTCATTTCTTCCACTGAAGTGAATGGTTGGCCATTCAGTTTCATGAGGAAAAATACAGCAGAGGTGAATGGCAGAAGTAGCCCTCCATATTGTGTACCCTAGCCCTCATTGGCAGGGATCCCGAAGGGAGTGGGGTAGTACCGTGTGTGTCTGTGCCACAAAGCATACAGAGACACAAATGAACCTCCCTGATGTCTTCCCTCCACACACACCTTTCCTAACGTAAAGACAAGAGTTTCCCTAGTAAGTAATAATGGCTTGAATCTTGCCGTACATTTTCATAATGTTAGTGGGAGCAATTTTCGGCAGCTTTCACCTTCCCCTTCAGAACTCCAGCTCCCCCTCATATTGTTCCTGGGGGATCCTCTGTCTCCCAGAAGTAGCATGTCAATGATCTTTTGGGCCTGTAATGGTTGGAGTGCCCTGACCTGGATAGCACAGGCTAACCCGATCTCATCAAATTTCAGAAGCTAAGCGGGGTTGGCCCTGGTTAGTATTTCGGTGGGAGATGACCAAATAATAATAGAATCATAGAGTTGGAAGGGGCCTCCAGGGTCATCTAGTCCAACCCCTTGCACAATGCAGGACATTCACAAATACCTCCCCCCTACACCCCCAGTGACCCCTGCTCCATGCCCAGAAGATGACAAAAAGCCTCCAGCATCCTCAGACAAACTGGCCTGGAGAAAAATTGCTTCTTGACCCTGAAGTCCAGGGTCACTATGCAGAGGCAGGCAGTGACAAACCACTTCTGAGCATCTCTTGTCTTGAAAACCCTACAGGGTCACCATAAGTTGGCTGTGACTTGACAGAAGGACAGCATGGCAAGGGTAGGGCGGAGTACCCACCTTCTGGAGTAGATATAAATGTACTGCCTACCATTTTCTTCTCACCTTGATACAGAGAGTATTCCGTCTTTCTGTGTTTATTCCTCTGAGGATGCCAGTCACAGCTGCTGGCGAAACGTCAGGTCCTACGATGCCAAGACCACAGGCACACATCCCAGAAAATCTACAGCAACTAATGAACTCCGGCCGTGAAACCCTTCGACAACATATAGGGTGTGACATATGCAAATAAGTTATGCTAATGAGTTATGCTAATGAGCCCCTGCACCTCTCTTTCTATGAAATGACCCCTGTACACACACACAAACACACACAACACACATGGAAGGAGTGAGCGGCAAGGAAGTCCCCCTCCAATGACGTAAGTCCCTTCCACTTGCAAAAATGTATGGCAGGATCCAATCCATCAATTTTACCCTTAAGGTTGCTGAAGGGTTATATCTGGTTACTCCTGATGCTGTTATTACAGCTGTTATCTTGACTATGTTGTTTTTAACTGGTTGGATCCAACACAATACCCACCCACTTACCCACCCACCTGTGAGACTACAACAGCACTTCTGCTTGCATAAGAAAATAGGGGGATAGGGTCTTACAAATTTCCTTTTTTCACTAGCCCCCTGGCGGCAGCCTATACAATTCCTAGAGGCTGTCCAGACCTTAGCAACAGCAGAGCAGGAAGCTGGAGCAAGGAGGAACGTGCCTCCAGCCAACGATGGTGAGGGGTCTGGAGACCAAGTCCCATGAGGAAAGGCTGAAGGAGCTGGGTATGTTTAGCCCGGAGAAGAGAGGACTGGAAAGTGATACCAGCACTTTTCTGTATTTGTGATCGGTTTATGTTTATGGGGTTTTTATGACATTGTATTGTGTTTACACTTCTCTGTTTTAATGTATTTTAACCTTTTAATGTAAGACGCCCTGAGCTTGCTTCGGCAGGGAGGGCGGGATACAAATCGAATTAAATAAACAAACAAATAAATATGATAACCATCTTCAAGTCCTTGAAGGGCTGTCCTATAGAGGATGGTATGGAGTTGTTTTCTGTTGCCCCAGAAGGTCGGACCAGCAATGGGTTGAAATTAAATCAAAAGTGTTAAACGTTAGGAAGAACTTCCTGACAGAGCAGTTCCTCAGTGGAACAGGCTTCCTCGGGAGGTGGTGGGCTCTCCTTTTTGGAGGTTCTCAAACAGAGGCTAGATGGGCATCTGACAGCACTGCTGATTCTGTGATCTTAGGCAGATCATGAGAGGGAGGGCAGGAAGGGACGTACCAGTGCTTAGTTCTTGTGGCCCTTTCTTACACGCCCAGGGAAATGCTGATCACCACTTCGGGGTCAGGAAGCAATTTTTCTCCAGGTCAGGTCGGTTGGGGATCTTGGAGGGTTTTTTTCATCTTCTGGGCATAGAACAGGGGTCACTGGGTGTGTGTTGGGGGGAGGTACTTGTGAATTTCCTGCATTATGCAGGGGGTTGGAGTAGATTACCCTGGAGGTCCCTTCCAGCTCTATGGTTCTATGATCCTAGGAGGCAACCAAGACATATTTCACAAGCCCCACTCCACTCATGAATCTCTAGATCCCAACCACAGAGGATTTCCATGGACACAAGGGGGCATTTTCACTAACTCCCTACCAGCTGTTTCTGGAAAGTCTCTTTCTCCCAGGTGCAGCATTTGGCAGAGGGAAGTGGGGAAGTCCCCCTCTGCAGATGGAAATCCTCTAGGGCAGGCATGTCCAACTTCGAACAGGTAGTGATCTATTTTTTCCAGCCAAAAGTGCCGGTGATCTGCCACCATGAAAATAAAGTTTCAAATTAGTTTCAAATTAGATTTTAACCCACTAAAGTTGGGTTCCACCGCCCACCCACCCCCCAATTATAATACACCTTCTGTCATTTACTGGTAAGCAAAATAAGCAAAGGAGTTCTGGTGACTCAAGTGGTTAAGACGTTGAACTGCAGGCTGTGGAAGATCGGTAGTTCAGCAGTCCGAGACCCGAGTGTGCCGCATGACGGAGTGAGCTCCCGTCTCTAGTTCCAGCTCCTGCCAACCTAGCAGTTCGAAAGCAAGAAACTGCAAGTAGATAAATAGGTACCACTTCGGTGGGAAGGTAACAGCGTTCCGTGCGCCTTGGTGTTTAGTCATGCCGGCCACATGACCACGGAAACGTCTTCGGACAGCGCTGGCTCTTCGGCTTTGAAACGGAGATGAGCACCGCAACCCTAGAGTCAGATTCGACTGGCTTTCGAGCAAGGGAGACCTTTACCTTTACTTTAAAATAAGCAAAAACAAAACAGAGAGACGAAGATCCAGAAAGAACTGCAAACATTTTTTATTTTTTATTGAGTTATAACTTTCTTTAACTGTCTCAATAACTTTCTTTAACTTTTATTCAGAGTTATTTGTGTTAAATGTAGGTCAAGTATTGATCCAAGCTGATCTTGCGCAATCTTTAAAACTTCGCTCTTGCTCATTAGTGAGATGTCTGAGCCTGCATTTCATCCACCAGCTTTTTGAAGTAGGGTGAATATTGCCTGAGGGCCAGTCTCAGGGAATCCTGGAGATGTTCATCTGTCACGTTGGAATGCTGTGTACTCTTTGTCATTTTCAGATGGGAAAACGCAGATTCACACAAATAAGTTGAACCGAAACAGGAGTGTACAGCTTCACTGCATCTTCTCAAGTTGGGAAATTTGTCTCTAGGCCAAGTGGGGCTGGTGATCTACCTCTGACCCCTCCGCTATATACTGGCAGATCGCGATCTACCTGTTGGACATACCTGGGATCGAAGCCATCATCTTCTGTCTTACATTTTTTGTATCCTTATCAGGAAGTGGTTTCAAATATTTGTATGAACAAACACCCTTATACTCTTTAAACAAATACATCCATGAATAAATAATGCAGTTAGTTAAACTTGGGGGAGTGTTCGGCGTCATCCTATCTGCCCGTCACTGCAACATTAGATTTGTTTGCAGAGCATTGCACAACCAGAAGATACATGGCAATCAAGAACTCCTAAGCATATTCAGATGTTTTAGAAATCACTTGTGAAACACAACATGCCGTATTCTGGTCCAGCTTTCTTGGGAAGAAGCCAGCTTCATGGTGCTGATGTCAGGTGTGCACGCGCAGATGAGAGAGCGTGTGCCTTCACCATGAGGAGAATGTGGCAGGGAGTTTTTCCTTTAAAATTGTGGGGGAAGACAGGTCTGTAGGGTCAGATCATATCTGAGGAAGAGAATTGTTCCTGTTGGTTTAGCTCTTGCAAGCATATGGTTTTGCTGTTCTTGGGTTCTGTTTCTTATCTGTA